CGAGGATATCCCCAGTCTTAATTGAAAGGCAGAAATTCTGAGAAAAGTGAGGAGTGGAGTTAGTAAACAATGGTGGGAAATCATGGGTCAATAAAACAGCGTTCCACTGAGACTTCCAGCAAGGGTCAAGGGCACTGCATTGATTGGCTCAACATAAAGCTGAGTAGTGTGTTTGTGTGTGTGTGTGTGTCTTTATGTGCCTCCAGAGATGCACACGGAGAAAAGTGCACAATGCAGGAAGGTACAAAGACAATATTAAAGATTCGAGGATCTTCTAGAAATGACTGTAAGCATTAGCAGCAAATTATCACGCATTATGCTCCAGATCCAACATAGAATCATTTGAAAATGATACTATATACAGAATATAAGGAATAAAAAGCTCTTTTTTTAAAGGGGTCATGAGATGCAGTTTCAGATTTTTATATTGTGTTCCTTGAGGTTAATTTATGAAGTTTGCAAATTTTGCAAATATTTGTTAAAATTATAATTTTCCATCCTCATTTTCACTCTCTGTAAAACACACACAATTTCAAGGGCCATTATCTTTGATCGCTGTGATTGACTTTATCGTGCTGTAGCCATGTCCTCCTATACAGCATGTTGTGTGTTTTGATATTCGAGATGGTGCATGCTGTGATAGAGCCGTATGTTTGAGCCCGAGGCAGAAGAAATTTGAACAATACAACCATTTGCAACACAATGCAACATAAACATATCCAAATACCTATATGGGTTACTTTTAGAAAATGTCTTAAAAGAAGACAACAGTAAAACACTAGTTACACGTTGTGTGAAGGGTTAATAAAGGAATGGTAAAATAAACTAATACAAATATTCAACTCAAGCAAATGTTTCTGGTCCAGGTACCTACTGATATAATTAGCAACACTCAAACAATGAAACACTTGGTGTCTTAGTAGCATTAAAGGGTCATGAAACCCCAGACTACTTTTTCTGAGATTTTAGCAGAGGTGTTTGTGTTGCACATCATAGAAGACAATGTTAGCATCCGATAACTTTAACTGTTGGAGAAAACTGGTTAATTTTAAGCTTTTTTGCACTATTTTCATCTTCCGGGTTTAAAATCTACATCGTGTTGACGTCACAATTTGTGACGTGGCAATGGACTATAGTACATCGATGACGCGTCGGTGTCTATTAAATTATTAATGAGACTGCGTGTTCTTATCCTATGAGAAGACGCTTAACTTAATTATTCACAACAGCATGTGTTGATTTGCTATGCCAGACATTTCAGACTGTGAGATGACATCGCGACCATTAACTGAGAGAAACGTTCATGGATCGAAGAAGAGTGTTTGTTTTATTTGTGTTTTTAACTCGATGGGAGCGAAATGAAACTGTCAGAACTAGGGATCGGTGTATCGATCCAAAGTATCGATATATCGATACTGACGCGAGTATTGAAAGTATTGATACTCAAACAAAAAATATCGATATTAAGATGTGTTTTATTTACCAGTGATTTTGTTTATTTAACACAAAAAAAAAATGCGTACAATATGTATTGAATTGGACGAATAACCTATGTTAGCGAATAATTGTGTAGGATAGAACTATTTTCCTGCTCATCTGAACACACGCAAATGTTGCAAGACAGGACTAATAAAACATATTTGAACCATGTGTAAACAAAAATATAACCTAATAAGTTACAATTAAGGCAATATTGAATGTTAAAATGTGTTTTAAACAAAGTTAAGTGGTTATCATTACCCATTTTACTCTCAGTAATTTAATAATTTAATCATTTAATAAACTTCATAATTTAAAAGTTTAGTTCAGAAGTATCGTATCGGTATCGACGATACTGGCCTTTAAAAGAATCAGCATCGTATCGAAAACAAAATAAGTGGTATTGCCCATCCCTAGTCAGAACGCTAAGCTGTGTGTGTGTTGTCTGTCTCCCCTCTTCCCCCTCCTCCGCTCCGCTGCGCACCACGCCCACTTTTCTAGCATTTTTTAAAACTGTGGTGAGAACAAACCAGTGCTGAAATGGGGTGGGGGGTGGGGGTTCATGACCCTTTAAACACTGATGTTTATTACAAACACTGTAAGATTAAAAATAAATGTACCTTACCTGGACAGAATGCTTGGAACCGCCATATCTTTCAATAAAAGATATTGTGAAAAACTGGCAACATGTTTAGAATAATTCACAAAACAGTCCGTTGTGAAACATGAAGAACAAACAAAAATCTTTCAGTTGCTCAGGCACATCATTAAAAATACATTACATTTCTAAATGCCATGAATTTCTAATGCTCAGATCTTTAGGAAGGCTATGCAGAGTTTTTGGAGGTCTATTTTCTTTACGTCCACTGACAGAACAACGTCTGCGTTTAACGGTCTTACTCGACCCGAATCTGTATCCAACTGCAGTATTGCTCTTGTGATTGATGAAAGAACAGACATGTTCAGAACACACCTCCTTGATTACATATGACGATGACACGTTTATCGAGGTTAATCGCAATGTGATGATTCTCCTTATTTTTAAATCCAGGCGTTTGATGAGGGTATATAGAATAATTCATAGTATATAGTATATAGGGTATAAAGAATAATTCATATTTTTAAATGGGGAGTTAGTTTCGAGTTGTAAACCTTTTAGTATTTTTATTGTGGAGTAACCTACTGTATTGTATATGTCAAGAACATTTGTTCTCCATTTCATGACCCCTTTAAAAAAACTGCTTCCCGGTTGCTGTCCCGCAGAACCATGTCAGACACCGGCTCACAGACAAAACAGATGATTTGTTCTATTAATGTTCATTTGTCGCTTGCTACATTTGACACCTGACACCCATAAAGTCTGATGCATCACTCTCTCTCCTCTCTGTTACGATTTCACTTCCCCCCAGTGAAAAATGAAACCATCAGTTAATTACTGTGTTCTTTTAACAGGCTCTCTCATTCCCCTTCTCTCTCTGTTCACATTGTGAAAGTGAAAAAAAGAAAGTGACGTGACATGTGGCGACCCATACTTGGAATTAGTGCTCTGCATTTAACCCATCCTAAGTGCACACACACAGCAGTGAACACACACACACCGTGAACACACACCCGAAGCAGTGGGCAGCCATTTTTGCTGCGGCGCCCGGGGAGCAGTTGGGGGTTCGGTGCCTTGCTCAAGGGCACCTCAGTCGTGGTATTGAAGGTGGGAGAGAGCGCTGTACATTCACTCCCCCCACCTACATTTGTTCTATTAATGTTCATTTGTCGTTTGCTACATTTGACACCTGACACCCATAAAGTCTGATGCATCACTCTCTCTCCTCTCTGTTACGATTTCACTTCCCCCCAGTGAAAAATGAAACCATCAGTTAATTACTCTGTTCTTTTAACAGGCTCTCTCACTCCCCTTCTCTCTCTGTTCACATTGTGAAAGTGAAAAAAAGAAAGTGACGTGACATGTGGCGACCCATACTTGGAATTAGTGCTCTGCATTTAACCCATCCTAAGTGCACACACACAGCAGTGAACACACACACACCGTGAACACACACCCGAAGCAGTGGGCAGCCATTTTTGCTGCGGCGCCCGGGGAGCAGTTGGGGGTTCGGTGCCTTGCTCAAGGGCACCTCAGTCGTGGTATTGAAGGTGGGAGAGAGCGCTGTACATTCACTCCCCCCACCTACAATCCCTGCCGGTACGAGACTCAAACCCGCAACCTTTGGGTTACGAGTCCGAGTCTCTAACCATTAGGCCAAGACTTCCCCTTGTCTTGATTAAGGCAGACCGGAGCATATAAATGTACTTCTCATAAGGCAGTTCTCCTAACAGCTGTCAGTCATCGCTCCAGTAGACACTGAAGGGACAATGTGGGACTCGTTTGGATGGCTATAGACTTTCCGTTCATTTCTCCTTTTGGTTTCAGGCAGCCTCAACGAGACTTTATGATTTTGTTGGAGACTTTGAATGTGCTGATTTTCTAGTGTGAGATTAGGTTGGTGAGATGGAGTCACACCCATAGATGAAGCCATAAAACACATGCCATGAAGTATTCCGCAAGGTGTAATAAAAGGTTTTGTTTCTAATTATATTTATAACTATATTTTTACATTTTCTGAAGAAAATGTGACTGGTGCTTTTCAATGCAAAACATGATCCTATGGTTTACAGGATTAATTAAAGCTAAAACTAATATAATTAAACTATTATTACTATTAAAATCATTTTTATTAAGTTAATTAAAGCTGAAAAATAAAATATAAATATAAATATTAGATGAAAATTTCTAACTGTAAAAATTAGAGATAAAGGCCCCGATTTACTTATTTTTGTTCTTCTGATGTGAACTATAACAAACTTCATTTTGGCCTTTTGTTCAAAACTATGTCACAGTTTTTATTATTTATTTTTTTTTTCTAGTTTTTGTTGTAGCTATTTTAGTAGACCAAGTTAAAATAAATTAAAATGAGAACATAAAATTAAACATTTTAATTAACTTTTTAATGGTTTTAATTTCAGTTTCAGTTTTAGTTTTATTTAACTGTAATAACCCTACTACCTGGAAATTAATCAAAACTAAAACTAAGTTAAACATAAATAGTAGCAATTAAAACAAGGACAAAAGCACATAACAGAATATATTAAGATAAAATGAATATGAAAAAAAAAAGAAAATTCAATATATTAAAAACTATAAGAGTACACAAATAATTAAAAAATAACATTGATGGTTATCAGGGTGTTGCTATGGCTGGATGTTGCAGGTGGTTAATTAAGTCAAAAGAGCCCACTTCAAGTCTTTGTGATATTCAGGTGCCATAACATGCTTTTTATTTCTTAGTATAATGCTACTGTATACATGTTTGTTATTTATAGATTTATTTATTTATCCACAGAGTATCAGTGAGAGATCATTGTGAAGTCAGATCAATCAAAGGTCTTATACAGATAATCTTCACTGATGGAATACCTTCTGTCACCTATCATGGTTTAATCCCATGTCTCCCGGTGTCTCTCCGCAGCCCCTCAGAAGAGTGACATTTTCTGTGGTGAGTCAGACACCTGATCAATGCTGCTATGATAGTGGAGTGGTGGACTCTGAGACCCCCAGCAGCAAGAGCTCCTCTGGACCCAGACTGGGATCTTTACCGCTGCCTGAGGACGGATATGAAAGGACGACACCAGAAGGGAGCGTAGGCGAGGAGGAGCATGTGGAAAATGGTAAAAAGCCATCTGTGGGAAAGGTCTGAGACCGCTAGTGAAAAATGACGTGCATATGTTGTTGTTGTTGTTGTTGTTTTTCCTTTTAAAGGGATAGTTCACCCAAAAATAAAAATTCAAAAGAAGGTATTTTGAAGAATATTGGTAACTGAACAGTTTGGCGATCATTAACGTCCACTGTATGGACAAAGCACACTAAGACATTTCTTAAAATAACTTATTTTATGTTCCACAGAAGAAAGACAGTCATCCAGGTTTAGAATTCTATGAGGGTGAGTAATTGATGACAGATTTTTCATTTTTGGGTGAACTGTCCCTTTAATGACAGCAGCGCTAGAGCAGCATGAATCATTTATTATATTATATTATATTATATTATATTATATTATATTATATTATATAAAACACTGGCATTTTTTCACACAGTGCACCCAAATACAAAACTGCAACATTAAAACACTAAAATCATGCAATAAACATGAATCAAACAACATAAGATGGAATATAAAACCCTAATGTACATAATTGCTAACAAAAACTAACAGGAAACATAATTGTTTAAATAAAATACCATTAAATGTAATATCTCAGGGAACTGTGGGAATATCAGTGTACATTTTTGTTCACTGTAAATTAATATAAAATTATAAATTATTAATTATAAAAATGTGTTTATACTTCTAAAATCTGTTTAACAGTATTTACTGTAAAAGTACTTAAAATGTCCCATTAAGTCTATTACATTTTTTCATGGTATATAGTAAGGGAACTTGCAATTAAACATTTTACTGTAGTATTTTACAGTATTTTTACAGTGTGGTTTTATTTAGATTATTTTTCTAATTTTATACCATGTTCTTATCATTATGAATTATATTTCCAGCAATTAAAATGTTAACATTAATTCTTAGAATTTGGCTTGTTCTCATTTTGGTTTGTCCTTCTCCTTTGCATTATTTACAGCAGTATATTACAGCAGTACTCAGACTGACATAAACCTGGTCACAGGCCTTCGGACACCACTGTAGACAGACAGAGTCATTTATTCTCCAGGGACATCATGAGTGTCTAAAACTTGACAGTCTGAAGAAAAAATTTTGACCTATGACCCACGCATATTTCAATAGAGACAGTTCCCTGACAGGACATCCTAAAACTGCGTCTTTCTCTGTTCCTCAGACCCCAGGCAGCTCCCTGACGTGGCTCTGACAGGAAAGTGCACACAAGAGTGTGATGAGTTTGGTCACTCTGACACCTGCTGGATGCCCGTGCAACTATCACCACGGAGACGCATGGAACCACCCCAACTCTCCACCTTCGCCTTGCCCGGCGATAACAACAACAACACGGAAGACGACAGCGACCGAGAGGAAGACGGAGACGGAGGTACGGATAAGAGCAGCGGAGGAAGCGAGGAGGTCCGGGATTCGCTTGCAAACGGAGATCCGCTCGGAACGCTCAGCCGTCGGGACCGGAACAGGAACATGGGCGATCACAACCGTAATCTCCTGAACCGGAAAATGACCTCGGCATCCTACGACACATTCAGCAGCGCCGGCTTTGGCCGCCGTCCGGATGAAGAAGACTCACACCCCCCAGAGGTCATTCCACTTACGAGGACGGGGGGCGACTATAAGACCACCTCGTGCCTCACTCTGTCTCGCAGGGAAGTGTACCTGTGAGCTGCAGCCAGCCCTCAGAGCAACTGCACTGCACCGGAGCAGGAGGATCATTGAGATACTAGCCTATACCTGTTCAAAACAGGCGTCTTCTCCTTGCCAAAAATTCATCATCAGTTCATTACTCTAGATGCAATATATCAAAGTTGAGGAGAAAAAGTGAAGCATCTTTTATTCTTTCATAAACTTGGATAGACTTTGTCAATGGCAAACACTTGCATGTTAGGCCTCCCACAGACAGGGGGCGATGTGGGGACTGATGGACAAAATCCAGTCACGGACCACATAAATGGATGCTCGTTTCATCTGATCGTGGCACATCATGAAAATAGAACCATGTAGCTTCAGGAAAAAGGAATTCCTAACCAATCATAGGGCGACAGCGTCAACTAAATATTTTAATCTAACTAGTTTCCTGTCGCTGAGCCAGTATGGTTATTTAATTACAGTCACATGGTAAACACTAGACATGTAAATGCTTTCATCACAGACTTTTAGAGAGAAAAAAAAAAGAAAAGAAAAAAAAAAATCTGGTCATTCATTTTTATAATTTGTGAAGCTACAGTACCTGTCTTTTGTTGTTGTTGTTGTTGTTTTTTACAAATATGGGAATATACTACAGCTCTCAGTAGTGCTTTGAAATGTTCAAATGGAATTCTTTGCTATTTCATCGCTTCTGTAATGGAGCAATTATCACAATGACTGTTAATTTACCATCCCATCAGATCTCAGAGTTTAAATCAGCCAATTAAATCATACCACACATACAGTACTCGGTACACAGCACAAACATACACACACACACACTGAGATACATGTCTATATCCATTTAGTGCAGATGTGTGTGTGTGTAAAAGTGTGTATGTACTGTATAAACAGACATTTTGGCAAACCTGAGGCTTTTTTAAGAAACGTTTTTTTGAAAGTAGATATAGCATTTTTGCCTGCTTGATCTTCAACTAGTATATAAGACACTGAAGTGTATTTGAATAACTAATCATCTGTGTAAAGTGCATACACAGGGGCATTAAACATTGTTTAGATACATCTATACTATACTATAAACAACAAATATAAATATAAGTAGAGATCATATGTAAACCAAATTTCTTTAAAGGCAACACTGCATGAGGATAAGCTAATGCTTATTTTGTTAAATAAGAATCAGATTTTGTTGTTTTTTCTGAGGATATAACCTCTTTAGGAGGGCCGTGTGTGAATGCAAAGCGAGGTCGGTGTGAAACATTCGATGGAGGAGAGCTAGATCTTTAATTTAGCCAGAAATGACACACACAATGTAGCTAGTTGTTCAAATACCTGTATTACAGTTAAAACCAATCAAGACATTTTAATGAGTCTTTGTTAATCTTACGGCAGCCTCGTCCAGGTCTTCAGCAAGCCTCTGGATTTTTCAAATTGAGTTTAGGAATTACTTTTTTTTTTTTCTTTTTTGTTTTAGCTCTTGTTATGCATTGTAAGTACAATCTGATCGATAAGAACAAACTGACATGTATTTCACCAACTCTCAGGAAACTTGAGATTCAGTATGTGTCCTCAGCCCATTATCAAAGCTGAGCTTTAGTCTGCGCTCCGAATTTGTCCTCACAAGGCGCCCTCTTTCCCTTTTTCAGATAGACTACCTGTCGGCGGTGAGAATCGCAGACTCATCCCTTTCACTTCACGGAACAGCCTTGGGTCTGGAGCGGGACTGGTGCACTCCAGTCCATCTATGCCAAAATCTGTCCAGCTTTTCTGGTTTTACTGGAAGCACTGGTGCACAAACTTAGCTGAAAAAGACTAGCCCAGAACCTGCGGTTCAGCGCCTTGATGAGAGGAGCCTGTTGAACTGGCCTATACAGGGTTTGTGAAACCGGAGGACTTGAGAAGAGGGAAACTGTCTCTAAAAATGGCGTGTTTCCTTTGCCAGGTTTATAGGCGAAATATGCTGTTATACAGCAGTCTGTAAGTAGTGTACATTATGGGGTGCGTAACGGACTATGTATATGAAACCGTGTGTTTTCTTTCTTTCTTTCTTTCTTTTTTCCTGCACGTTTACCTAACAGTTCAACTCACTTACTGCAAAACGGGGAGGGCAAAATAACATTGTGTCTAAACCGTAACATTCACTTTAACTTTTTTATGAGATAAACACTGAACTCATGTACTCGCCCAACATCCACCATTTTACTGCTACCCTGTAGAGAAATGACCCCTGAACTTTAACCTGAAAGGCATGTTGACGGTCTTTAATCCTGCACCTGTGAGGAAAATGTTTTTTATTTCTCTGTTTTTATGCTATGTGAAAGAGGAGTTTTTGAAGCTCTCTCTCATGGAATTAATGCGTTCATTGCATTTGTTATGACAAATAACAAATCAAAAGAGGTTAGAATGGTTTGAAAGTTTGGTATGTGACATGTAAAAGTTTGATTTTGACATTAAAACACCGTTAAACCGTGTTCTGCTTCCTTTATCACGCTTGAACGTACGGTTTGATTCATTTTTGTGCATATATTTGTGCATATTAGTGAATGTAGTGATAAGGATGTTTCTTTTGCAAGCCTGCACCCTGCTGGAAAAAGAGAAAATTACATTCCCTGTACACTTCCCATCAGCTGAGTCTCCTCATAGTAAATTGTGTATTTGAAAAGAAAAAAAGAAAAAGCATTTTGATCTCTATTTTTACACCTTTCGCTTCTCGATTTAACATAATTTTGATTTGTTTTATTCAACTTTTTTTATCACACCAGTTTGTAATTAATCCTGGGTACTCAATTGTGTTTAAACCCTAAGAGTTTAGTAGACTTTTAATGGAATGATTTGCAGACAATGATCATACAAACATGACTGAACTGTCCTCAGATATCAAGGTGTAAAGTAAAAAGGAGTCATTAGTTCAGAATCTTGTTTTGCCAATCAGAAAGCTTTTCTGCCTACCAATCATTTAGCACAGTCACAGACCGTCTAGCAAGCCAGAGGCTACAATCGAGAACTAGTTTTAATTAGTTTGGAAGTTGCGAAATGTTTGCTGTCATCAATGGCTAACACAGCCAAAATGTCCTTAAAGAATTGGAAGATAGTTGAAATAAAGTGACCAAAAAAGAAGCTAAGAGTGAAAGTAGGTAAAACTTTTCATCACTGGAGGGAAGCTGAGAAATGTACTTGAAAACAGATTCAGAGTTTGCTTTGCTTCTGCTCGACAGAGTTTTGGCTTACAAAAATTCTGTCATCCCTGCAGAACTCTATTTCTTAAAGGTATAGTTCACCCAAAAATGAACATTCTGTCATCAATTACTTACCCTAATGCTGTTCCAAACCTTTATGAGTTGCTTTCTTCTACTGAACACAAAATAAGTTATTTTGAAGTCGACAGTTTTGATACAGTTGACGGTGGACATTTACTTCCATAGTATGGAAAAAAAAAATACTATGGAAACCAATGGCTACCGTCCACTGCTAACAACATTCTTGTTCAACAGAAGAACACATACAGGTTTGGTACAAAATGTAAACGATGGTAAAATGTTCATTTTTGGGTGAACTATCCTTTTAAGGTGCAATCACATTAACTATGATTCAGAGAATTTCCACTGGCAAAATCCAGTCCTTTCAATAGGAATCCAGCGATCAGGAATTTCACATGAGGGAAAAAGTTTTGGTCATACGAATATGCCATGTTGACCAACAGAAGCTGCTTAGTTTGAAAGTGACCTCTGTCAGCTGAGCTGTGCTACATACATCACTGCAGTATTGATAATTTACTTTTTTGGCCATGAAATTTCACTAATTTGACTGCACTTTTACAACATTTTAACTTCATTATTTGCATATTTACGAGCTAAATAAATTGAATTGGACAAGGACCACACTCAACTTGTTTTTTTAACAAATGTTTGTCAGTAGTTACTTTGCCAGATAACTACGCTAGTTGCAATTTGTTACATTTTAACTGCATCATCAGATGCTGAAACTAAACACAGCATGTGCACGTTTTGACTGTACAAAGTACATAAATATTTAATGAGCCAACCACTATTTATTTCAGTTTATGATAAGATATTAGATGCCAGACAACTAGCTGTTATGTCCGGTTTCACATTGTATCCTTTGGCATCGCATTTCAGGGTTTGCACTAAAAAAGTTTTTCTCTCAAAACTATATGCAGATTTTTTTTTCTTACTGTTAATATACATTTTGAAGAGTTTTTATTTTAAAATTGCCACAGAATAATGTAATAGAATATCTAACATTTTGAGGAACTTGCCTGAATTAAAATCGAGGAACTTGCCCCTGAAGGCAGTTTCAATGAGCCAGAGTTCTTTGAAAAACAGAGCAGCTCGGGGAGGACGATGTTTTTCAAGGATTCCTTCGTCCCAGTGGAATATAGAAATGCTGCTCTAGTTATGGAAACAGTACACTTGCTTTTGACATTTTTGTACTTCTCCACTATTTTCAGTTTCCCCTTCATTTCCAATAGCTTTAGAACATCAGGAATATCCAAACATTTCTCCAGTCCAGCATGTTAACAATTTGTTCGTGTGACCGGTGTAATCTGCCTCTCCCGGGTCCTCACCGCCACACCTCGTTCTTGTTCCGAGTGGGTCTCGAACCCGGGTCTCCGGCATGGGAGGTGGATGCACTAACAAGGAGGCTAAAGACTGCAGCCTCTAGTGTCAGTCGCTAGTGCGTCTCTTGAGATCAGGGGAGTGAGGTTTACCTGCACAGCACTTACTCGCTGGCCTCCGTTACATTCGCTCTGTGAATAGTCTGAGCAATCTGGAAACATGCCTAAAGTTGAATGAATATCAGACCAATCATGCAAGTTTCCCAGCTTTAAATTAATACATATATTTGGTAATTTTTTTCTTGGCTTATAAATAGTACACTCGTGTACTGCTTGCTAATGCATTGGTAAATTTCCACATAGCCTACTTAGATCCACATTGGGGCCCATCGTGGACTCATGATGTGTTGACACTTTGAAGCATATTAAATCTAGCGCATTCTACAAGACGAATGCTTGTGGCCTTGTACACATTTAAAGACTTTAAGATTTATTTAAAGATAATAATAGGAATACCAGTGTGTGTGTGTGTGTGTGTGTGTGTGTAAGGTCCAAATACATGGCATTACACCATCATATGAAGGCAAGACACTGCAGGCAAAAACACTGAGTAAAACACTTTAGATTAGGGAACACTATTCACTATTTACTAGTTGCTTGCTTGCATATTACAAGCATATTGGCTATTTATTAGCATTTATAAAGCACATATTAATGTCTCATTCTGCATGACCATATTCTAGATCACTTAACCCGACCCCATGCCTAAACATAACTACTTCAACAACTAACTTACTTACTATCAATAAGCAGCAAATTAGGAGTTTATTAATTTTTTTTCGACCTGTTGACAGTATTTTCTGTTTTATGAAGTGATAGAAATATCCATAATCCCTCCTGTAAAAACCTTTAACTCTAATATGTCAACAAAATGAAAGTATTTTTAACTCGGCTTTATTAAATGTTCAGATTTCTGTTCTGGAAATGC